TTATTGAGGCAAGACAATGACATTCAGGCTGTCAGTATTTTGAAGAGTTGCGGCAAATGAAGAAAGAAAGAAAAAAGGAAGCATAAGAAAATGAAGTGTGATATATTGAGGTAACGCATAGATTTTCTACGTTTTGAAAGAGTTGAGTGAAAGAACAAAAAAGAAAAAGAAAGCCGGAATGAAAGAACGAAAGAAATGTATTGCTATTACGAACACAATTTAACAAAGCTTTGCAAAAGCCGAAGAAACAAACGAAGAAACATTTGTGATAAAATTTAAAAAGAGAATTCAGCTTATCTATATTAATGAAAGAACGTTTTTCTATTAAGGACTTCTACGAAACTATATCTGTTAGCTTTAGTTACGTACCCGAAACGTAAAAATAACGTTTACAGTAATAAGAATTAAAGTCGGATAAAAAATCCTTTCCAAAAACTACTGTTTACGTTGCGTGTACGAAACTGAAGCTAGCAGATATAATTCCAACGATAAACGTGCTTTCGTTAATATAGGTAATTCAAACCTCGCCCTGTATAGAACAAGTAGAAGCACACTATGACTCAAAAAAGTGGTTTTCCCTGATAGAAAAAGAGATGTCGGTTCGATTCCTGTCGGGAGCACAATTTCAGCTGTTGTTATTAATTTCACAGCTTAATAAAATAAAATAAAATAAAAGACAGTCGAATCCATTACATTCACTTACGTGTTAATACACTTGGGAAAGAGTTTAATCCTATTCTTCTCCCTCCGGCTATGGGAAAATAGCAGGACATACTGGGTTCTGTAGCCTTGGATGGCAACTGGTCTAGGAGAAGGACAACTCTGAATTCAAAACCTGCGGAGGGTTGTTTGTGGACCTTGTAGTGCACCAGGTCTCTGTATTCGGCCCTTCAAAAAGTGTGGTTGGTCCTGCACAAAGCCTTCACCACTGCAATTAAGTCATATGTGCTGGTATCTGGCAGTCCTTTCCTAGGAAATGAGTTGCTTAAACCTCATACGTCGAACACGAAGGGAGAGTCCACCATATAGGTATTAATGTGGATAAAACAAATAACTAGATATTAACAACCGTATATACATGTGTTAGCTAAAGCGTGAAACCCAGGGTCACAAACTCACATCTATCCAACCAAATATGTTAGCTCTATCTCTGATATTGAGCGCTTTCTAATAAGTATCGCGCATATAATATATAAATAATTATATATATACATATTTATTTATATTTATATACACACACACACACACACACACACACACACACACACACACACACACACACACACACACACACATATATATATATATATATATATATATATATGAATTTAGATAGCAAGTCTTCATATAAACAAGTTTGATCATTTTTTTTAAAAAAAGGACAAATTCTGTCTATATTTTTTCAGCTTTTGGATGAATAATATGTTCAAAGTTTTGTCCGAAGTTCATATTTTGCTATTTTTGTTCAAGGACTTTCGATTTTCTTAGTCTTTATCAAGAACCAATGTGGTGTCTGTGTGGTAATTGGAATTCCTTTGTCTACATCCTGTTTTCAATGGGAAAGCGGAAGTTTGAAATGGTCTAGCGTGACGTCATGTGTAAACGGCTCTTGAGAACGAGACCACGCAAAAGAATGTGATTTATTTATTAAATTTGTTTATATATATATATATATGTGTGTGTGTGTGTGTGTGTGTGTGTGTGTGTGTGTGTGTGTGTGTGTGTTCGACTCTCCCGTCGAATTCGACATATAAGGGTCAAGCAGATCAGTTCCCAGGAAACAGACAGCCCGACAACTGCACATGAGATTTGATTATAGAGGTGAAGGTTTCGTGCAGGACCATCCACACTTTTTGAAGAGCCACAAGGTACCCAAACGATTCAGAGTTGTCCTTCTCCTAGACCAGTCGCCATACAAGGCTATAGAACCCAGTCTGTCCTGCTATTTAGCCATAGCTGGAGGGAGAAGAAGAGGATTCACACCTTTCCCAAGGGTATTAGCAAGTAAGCGAATGTAATGGATTCGACTGGTATTCGAACTCAGCTCTCCGATTCCTCAATCCAAGCCGCTATACATTACTCCATCGTACCTCCTCCTCCTCCTCTTCTTCTTCTTCTTCTTCTTATTATTATTATTATTATTACTATTATCATTATTATTAATAATAATAATGGTGGTAGTAGTGAATATTGTGGTGGTGATTGTCGTGATAGTGACTTATCATTTATTTTGGAATGATCTTTTGTTACTCATTTATATATATATATAATTTTCATTACCACCAACTTTTTATCTGTCATTTAGTGTAGGCTCGGTATCTTTTTTCCGACTGCTATCTAAATTAAATTCCAAATCCCTGATTCCGAGACGAATTTAGTCCAGTGATGAAGAAGACTGTCACAATGCTGTGCAGGTTGAAATAGTCTATACCCACAGCTGGAAAATTTTGAATTTTTGCCGTGTTATATATACATACACACACACATATATATATATATATATATATATATATATATATATATATATATATATATATATACTCTGTTATAATAAATACATTGAACTCTCTCTGTGGACTCTCTTTCCCCTTTCTCTCTCTATATATATATATATATATATATATATATGTGTGTGTGTGTGTGTGTGTGTATAACCTTACAAAAAATGTTTCATGCTATAAATCAAATATGTATTTAACTAAAATGGTGTAAGACGAAGAGGCTGTAGGGATTGTTTATTTTCATGTAAGTAAAGAAATTATAAAAGTTTTATGTCTTGACACGCGCTAAATTTCAAGAGTCTGTCTATTACTGCCGCCAGAACGGAAACTGAAAGCATTGTTGGTCAAGGTTGTTGAGAAAACCCAAGCGAAAGGACAAACTATTAACGCCCAAGATTAAGAAGACAGAATGCAGGTTTTGCAACAATAAAGAGAACTCATGTTGTGGGTTGCATATTGGGGACGTTCAAACAAAGCCGATGCGAAAATTGAACTATCTGATTCGTGTTGTAAAAGACGATAGACAGTGTGACATAGAAACCTGTAGGCGCCTTACAGAAACTAAGCAAAATATTACGGGACATGAAGTTGTTATTCAAAACTGAGTGCTGAACTGCTATGTGATAATCCTCTATATGGCAATCTGTGCTAAACAATCTTCTCCCAGATAAAAGAAAAAAAACTGGGAGCAATACAGATGTGATTCTGTCGATGAATACCGATATTTCTATGATGGAACAGAGAATTTTTAAGGAAAACAGCCATTACATTTGAAACTACTGAAACATATATTTAAAAAATGGAAAACTGAAATTTCTGGGAGAAATGAGGAAAGACTGTTAGGCAAATGTGAAACTCACGGTGTATATAATGAAGTCAATAGAAGCAGGGAAAAGAAACACTGAAGTTACCTACTTGACGTAAATTAATGGCAGAACACGGCGAACAAACATATGGCCCGTCGCTAAAGATGCTGGAAAAATGGTCAGTTCTCGGTACACCTTCAGTGAGTAACTGACCCCTCTTGCTCTCCTTTACCTTTACAAACAGACCAGACCGAAAATTGACAGGAGCTGCTCTGTCCTCGAAAGGGTCCAAAAGCATCTCCGCGTCCTTGCGGGTAATGAATAGTTTCCCACCCTACAACTCTTATATCAGAGACGAAACGTCGCAAGCCTCTCACTGCTCTATCGTGGAAAGACCTCAGACGAACTATATTGCTTAGTTCCGCCAGTTCTAATATTTACCGCTAGGGCCCGCCACTTTACGCTCATTGTAGCGAGCCACACACATTCTCTCCGTATTCCATTGGTGTAAGTTCCACTCGAGCAGCTTCTCCCCTTCAGCCACTGCTCTGTGGAACAGACTCCCAAGAGGATGTTTTCCTGGTCGCTACAATCAATCTGTTCAAGTCTAGGGTTCCTCACATATCCCCATAGTCTGTGCCTGTTGCTTTATATGAGTGCGTGGCTAGAACATTCGTTCACCGACCAAGAAACCAGGGTTCGAATCTCATCATGGTCGATTTATCAGAAAGGTAACTTGATATGACGAAACTGAGGATGCAATCCACATTTGTAAAGTGCCTGAAAACCATATATACAGATTGACCCAAGCGTTGTGACTGAAATTGGGCAGATGGAAATATTTAGGATCCGTCGGTGGTTGTGCTAGCACGAAGTCACAAGTCATCGTGACCGAGTGTTTGAGCGTACTGGCCTTGTTCAGAATGATGGTCTCGCCAGATAAGTCGATCTCTAAGGTCTGCTCAATATAGTATACACATAGCATTAAAACCACAAATGGGGTCTATGGTGTTGAACAAACACAGATGTGCTGGAGTAGGCGTCTGCAATAGGGATTAGGTAGCCGCCCTATAAGGCAGGCATACTCGGATATGAACAGTTAGCCATATACTACTACTTCCTCATGCTCTGTAATTCTCTATCTTGAGTGGCTCTTGAGTCTTGTAGTAGGTGAGCAGCATTGTTAAAAAATCATGTTAATCTTCTTCTGTCTCCCCTTAGTCTGTAACATCTACCTTGAGTGGCTCTCAGGTGTTATGCAGGATGAACCTTATTGTACAAAAAATAAATAAAAAATAAAGAGGTGTGGTAAAGGTTTAATAGAAATAGGAAATTGTGGTGTGCCACAAACGCCTACGATCTGAAAATTCATGATATATAAAACATTAAGGGTGTGGGGAAGAGGCACTGGAAGATAATATTACTAAAGCCCTAAACGTAATTATAGAGTAAGATAAATTGTTGGAATGAGATCTCGTTCTGCTTCGTTATTCTCGTCATCATAAGAAAAAAAAAAGAGTTGGCCTACGACAACGCTGTCGTGCTGTGTCGCAAATATGATAAATTATCATGGTGACAAGAAACAAAACTCCTGACCCTTCGAATGTCAACCAAAAACACTATTATTATTGTTGTTGTCTAGCAGATGTCATTTGATATGGTTATCCGTTCGCCGGCTTCTTTAATATATCAAATGTCCCCTGACCATTTTTCTGTTAGCGATATAAGTAATAACAGTTATGGCCATAACAATAAATTAACATATATACATAAAAAATAGCTTTTAATTTATGAGTTTGACTATAGATCGGTTTGTCCTTGTCGGTCTATGAAACCGAGCGAATGACATTTTTATTTGCTCCTCATGAATTTATCGTTTCTCTCTTTGACTCTTTGTGCAAAAATAAATAAAATTGACTGGTCATATTTGGAAATTGATTGAGCAATGTCAAAGCTGTCGATGAGGGCAGCAGCTTTTCAACCACTATTAATCGAGTTCCTGTGGTCGTAGCTACGGGAATTTCAAAGACAATATTTAGATATTCGCAATTTCGAACAAATAAATGACATTTTGCCTGAAAACCTGTCACAGAATTCTTGTTTCCCGAAACTTAACATCTTTTTTTTTGTTGGGTGGGGATGAAATGTTCAATGCTGATGTTTACTTAACTATTTGTTTCTCTGTAAACGCTATACCAAACATTGACATATTTTTAACCATATTCTTTAAAATCATTTCATTCCAAACAAGGCGATAATGCCACTAAGACGCAAGAGGTTACTGGGAATGAAAGAGGATGGGAAGAGGAGAGACGACAATAAAAGAACCGGTTGCATTTTTTTTTTTTCTAAAAATCTATTTTATTTTCATTTGACAAGTATTTCCTCGGCCTGTTCTAGAAATATTTGTTATGGCAACTGCTCGGACGAGCCTTTTCTTCCTGCAACCCAATTAGATGAATTTAAGCGTGCTACTAGATTGGCAGTTAGGTCCCATTATTTTACTTTTGAAATAACTAGGTGCAACCATCCTTTCTAACAAATCGGCCCTGATGAGATTCGAACACGGATCTCATAGTCTGAGAACGAGCGTTCTAACCACCATATAGAGTAAGAAACGCAGTTTATGGAGATATGTAAGGAGGATAATGTTAACCTTAGACTGGAACATGTTGAGATTATAGTGATCGGGAAAGTATCCTCTTGGTAATCGGTTCGACAAAGCAGCGGTTCGTGGGGAAAATACGCGCGAATGGAATTTACATCACACCAATGAAATAGTAAGGGAATGAGGGTGGTACAATGGGCGTGGCTTGGTGGGGCCTAGTCGTGTTGGTTCGAACTGGTGGAAAGTAGTTTTTCTGAGCATTTTCCATTGAAGTAGCGATATAGCAGTGATAGACTTGGGACGTTTCGTCTGTGGGTAAAGGGGTTGTAGGACGAAAAATAATGCATCACCCTGAAGGACGTGCAGACGCCTTTGAACTCTATCGAGACTGGAAGAGGTAAGACTGGGCATCACCTGTCTATATATAGCAGCATTACTCCCGTTTCGTCTTGATCTGGCACTTGTAAAGCTGAAGGATAGCAAGAGGTGTGAGATATTGACAGGAGCGGTACAGAGATCCGACCATTTTTACAGCATCTTTAGCGATGTGCGAATTCCACTCGAGGTATTGACTGATTTTAAGTTTCAACAGGAACTCACAGAATCATGGGATCAGGCCACGTGATTGTGACCATCGGAAGTAAAATTGCAGCCTACGGTGGTGATCATTGGGAAAATTAATAAGCCTGCGCGAGGATCCAGCTCTGCAACTAAAACGTAGCACGAATTTCTTACACTACGAAATATGTCAGTTATAGAAAGCTGCCATGAAGAAGGACTGGTGTATTGGTAGATTCGTTTACGCTGTGATTTCTTGCATCAAATCCAGTTATACTGCAAGGCAGTTTTTAATATACAGTAATGTTTTTTTTTTCCTTTTTTTTTGCAATAGCTAATGTTCTGTTATATTTTGTAATGTTGCGTGCTTTAAACGTCACGTTCTTAAATACGCTAGAAACCGTTTGTTTTCTAAACATGTCTCGCAGAAATTTATGAGGCTAAGTCAGAATAACAGTCATTTCCCAAGTAGGTCTGATCGTAAATCTTGTATGAGAAGGCAAATATAGATGTTAAATTCTGACTTTCGAAGAAGGTAATGCAATTCCTCAGCAAGTAGTAGATTCTCTATGCGACATTATTTTCTACCCGTGTTTGAGTAGACCCCACCACCCCGTTTTTAAATGGTGGGAATTAAGTCTATCTGACCTAGCGGAATTTTAGTCGTAAAAAATACATGGCGTCTACTCAAATACGAGTAACTACGAAATAATTCTTTTTGAAAAACAGTGATGAATTCAACATTAAATTTCGTGTGTCTTTGTGCAATCGTTCGTACCATGTTTTCTTGAGGTAATGCAGTTGCAAGAGCAGATATTTTACATATACTGGAATTTTTCCATATGTTTACTAACATATATATATATATATATATATATATATATATATATATATATATATATATATATATATATGTATATGTATATATGTATGCATATATGTATGTGTATATGTATGTATATGAATATATATATATATATATATATATATATATATATATAAAAGAAAGAAAGAACAGTAAGATATATAATCTGGTGTTCTTATAGATATTTTATTTTTGCAAAATAGTGCTCAATGTAAATTTACAGAGCATTAATATTATAAAATAATTGATTTAAAATATGTTTTCTTTGCTACACAGTAGCTTTGCTTAGTTTCTTTGCTAGACATTAGTTCATTTCATCCTCAAGCGAAAAAAAATTCGCTTGAGGATGAAATGGAACTAATGTCTTAATTTAATTACAAAATTAAATTCGGGGCTTTTAGCTTCCATTTTGAAACATGGTTAGAACTGTGTAGAAAAAAAATATATTCTAAATCAAATTATTTATAATATATATATATATATATATATATATATATATATATATATATATATATATATGAATATTTTCTCAGAGTTAACCTGTGGAAAAAGACAATATTTATAAATGTAATAGCCGACGCGTTTCGTCCAATGTGGACTTTTTCAAGGCTAAAAACGAAATGAATTTATTAAACAAAATGACAAATAATAACAAAACAAAATGTCCTTAACAACTGGAAGAATTTAGAGAATGCTATTTTCATACTGTTAACTTGACGTAATTTTCAATTAACAGCATGAAAATAACGTTCTCTAAATTCTTCCAGTTGTTGAGGAGATTTTGTTTTGTTATTATTAGTTATTTTGTTTAAATAAATTCATTTCGTGTTTAGCCTTGAAAAAGTCCATTGACGAAATGTGTCGGCTACCATTACAGTTTTTCTATTGTGTCTTTTACATTTATAAATACACACACACACATATATATATATATATATATATATATATATATATATATATATATATATATATATATTTGGTAATGACAAGTTAAAACCGCTCAAAGAAGAGAAAGACAATATTTCTCTCATCAAAATCTATCTTGCACATTTATAAATCACTGAATACTTCTGCCATATCTGCTCTGGTGCTTCTGCTACTCATCTCGAAGTTTTTGAAAAAATCAAAAAAAAAAAAAGGATCTATAATGTAATCGATCCTGACTTGGCATCTCGACTGCAGTCACTTTCTCACCAACGTGACATGGCTTCCCTCTGTCTTTTCTTCAAATATTTTCATGGCAGCTGCTCTGACGAGCTTTTTTTCCCCCTGGTACCCCCACTAAATAAATGTAAACGTAATACTTGATTGGCTATTAGGTCTCACTGTTTTACTGTTGAAATAGCTAAATGCAACTGCCACTTCTACTCTTACAGTTTATTTGCTCGCACTTTCCGCCTGCGGGTCTTCTTTCTGCTTTCTTTCTTTCCTGATAACGGCAATCTTCAAAAATTTGAAATGACGTCAATCGCCATCTTCTTGAACCCTGTTCTTTGTTGTCCTTTCTTCAATCCTCGCCATTCTCAGTCTTTTCATTCTATTTCACTCCCTGTACCGCCCTGCGTTCTAGTGACTGGCTTGGGTTGGAATGATTTAAAAAGTAAAAAGACTTAGCGATTTCCCGCCTCTGAAGAACACGTTAGTTTCGGACCATTAGGCGGCCATGATTGAAGACTTTTTTTGACACGGCAGGTGCAGGCTACAAACAATTATGAACACAGATCATGAAAATGAAAGAAACAATGTTTGTTAAATGAATAGTTTTCGAGAACTTTAGAAGATTTTTGCCATGTATCGCTTCTACTTGTTTTTAATCCTTGCTTTTTTTTTTCATAAATTTTTTTTTCCTTTTTTTCTGATTTAGATGAAGCGGTTCGAAGGGTGTTCAGAATTTGTTATTCAACTCTGTTAAACATTTTCCTTTCAAAAGGATACATTGTCCAAGACTCAGCCTTCAGTTCAAGATAGGAAGTTAGAATTTAATTAAACTTTACCTATCCGCCATTAACTTCCTTTTTTCAGGCATAACAGTTTTTTTTTTCTTTTTGTTTTGCTTTTATACTAACGTCCATTAAAATACAAAGATCTATAACCACTCGAGGAGGAAAATTTACTGAAGGGACATGAATGTAAGTGGAGGAAATAGGAAGAGAAGACCATGATAGCTAACGATTGACCTTTGAATGGTCAAGATTGTAGCGCTTGTGGAAGAATCCAGGCGGGAGAGTGTTCCACAAAGTTTCTTTCTTTCGTTATTTCTTTGTTTACTTCTCTCTCTCTATCTCTCTCTATCTCTCTCTCTCTATCTCTCTCTATCTCTCTCTCTCTCTTTCTAATGAAAATTTTCTCTATCTCTCTCTCTCTCTCTATCTCTCTCTCTCTCTCTCTCTCTCTCTCTCTATCTCTCTCTATCTATCTATCTATTAAAAAACAGTCCGTTTCTTTCTTTCTTTCTATCTATCTCAGTCTATTTCTATCTATCTATCTAAGCTTATTGATATCTATCTATCTATCTATCTATCTATCTATCTAAGCTTATTAATATCTATCTATCTATCTATCTATCACAGTCTATTTCTATCTATCTATCTATCTATCTAACTGTTAAGTCTATCTATTAAATCTATCTATTTAAACATTCTATTTCTTTCTATCTATCTATCTATCTATCACAGTCTATCTATCTATCTATCTATCTAAACTTATTAATATCTATCTATCTATCTATCTATCTATCTATCACAGTCTATTTCTATCTATCTATCTAACTAAGCCTATTAATATCTATCTCAGTCTATTTCTTTCTATCTATCTATCTATCTATCTGTCTACCACAGTCTATTTCTATCTATCTATCTATCTATCTATCTATCTATCTATCTATCTAACTAAGCCTATTAATATCTATCTATCTATCTATCTATCTATCTATCTATCTATCTATCTATCTATCTATCTCAGTTTGTTCGTATCTATATACAGGATGCGCCATGTATTTGAGAACACATCTTTAAAAAAAAAACGAAAGTGGCTGACTATAACTAAAACTCTGTCGTATTTTCAGCCCCATCATCGAAACTTCGATAGGAAAAGGCATGCCGTTCTGGTTGCTTTAGTCGCCACCCATTCTGATTCGTGGGTTCCAGCCTTCTGAAACATTGCCAGGTCCTTCGTATTTATGAAAACAGCTTTAAGTTTCTGACAAGATTGTGTCTTCAGTGGCCAACAGAAATCTCGGCGGTCAGTCATTGTTAAAAATGGATAATTTCTCCAGAAAATCCACAGCAACACAACTTGATTTTTACAGCTTCAGTTGACTTTCGAACTGAATTTTTTTTAGCCTACCTGCTATTTAAGCAGGACTATTTCAAAGGGGATTAACGGACGCGATCAGAATTCGAACGCCTCTCGTCGATTTTTCGTTCCAAGCCGCTAAATTTAATTCTTAAGGCGAATAATTATGTTTAAAACCCGGATATAAGAGAGTTTTCGGGGCCGGAGAAATTAGTCTCTTATATCCGGGTTTCATCTTATTCCGGGTTTGGTCTATTTTATATACATTAACACAGGCTCTAATTTGGGACCAGAGAAAAATCTTTATATCCGGGTTTCTCTTATACCTAAATATTTCTTTTATATCCGGGTTACACTGTACTTTGAAATGTACTGAATTTGTCTGAAATGGCTAGATTTAATTGTATGAATTGTCGGACAAACTTCAACCATCTAATTTAGTTAAAAAAAAAAAAAAATGGCGCTTGCTGACTTATCATTTTGACCATTGGGCCGCATTTTGTGAGAAAAATCTGCACTCCACCACCAAAAAAAATATTAAAATCTCAGTAGCAGGTTCGTCTAAAGCCCTGCCTGCCATCATGTTTTATGTCACCTCTTACGTCACGTATCTCATCAGGTCAGACATGCGGATTTCATCATTCGCTCTTCGGTTTATAGTCGTTTTGGCCCATTTGTAAGCTAACATCATCCGCTGCCTTGGCTTTTCACACCTTGCCCGTATTACAACTGTCACCCGGGACATTTCTACACATTGTCCTTTTACTCGGGTGAGAATTTATGAATAAGAGCTGCTTGACAATTGATAGCAGTGTCTGGAACAATGTTGATGTTTTTAAAGATTGGCACGTACACCACGATCGGTCCATGTTATCAACACATTGTTTCCTACTAAGATGAATGATTTTGCTTTATTTTTTACCTTTTTTAGTATCTACAGCGTGTCCATAAAGTTCGTGTGCACTTTAAAAAAAATTATAACTTTATTTGTATTTGCGATAGAAATAATCTGTAAAAAATGCTATAAAGTTCAATGTACCTAGTTTTAAGCATAGCTAAAATAACTAATGTGATTTCAGGCATTACTGTAAGTCAGTTGGCAAATGTTTTCCTTGAACTGCAAAATCGTATTACCCTTTGTATTGCTAATGATGGAGGACATGTGTAAACTTAAATAAAATTTCAATAAAACCTTAAAAAATATAGATTTATTTCTTCTAATCCACTTACAAATTATTACTATCGCAAATACAAATAAAGTTATAATTTTTTTAAGTGCACACGAACTTTATGGACAACCTGTATAAATTAGGCTGGAGTTGAAAACGTGTGAGATAACAATAATAAGTCAACATCAGTACCAGCACTTAGTAAACCCACTCAACAAGGTGTCTGGTTAGGGGTCCCGGGCAGTGCATTGTGTCTTCATATATGATAAAATATAATTTTAAGGTGAGATATATTTGTTGGTTAGTGCTCAATATATAGTGGTTAAACCGTATATTTGTTTATTCAAAATAGATATTGAATGTCAACACTCAAAATACTTTTATATATATATATATATATATATATTTATATATATATATATATATATATATATATATATATGTAAATAGGTCCTAAATTTAGGTAAAAAAATTGTTTTTGAAATATTCTGTACAAAAAATTTGTTGTATAGATTAAAACGATCTTTTAAAAAAGCACCTAATAATGTAATGATGTAATGATGTTATTTATAATACATGAATGTTATTTATAATATATAAATGCTATTTATAATATATGAATGTTATTTATATTATATGAATGCTATTTATATAATGTAAATGTTACTTAAAATATATGAAAGCTATTTATAATTTATGAATGTTATTTATAATTTATGAATTTTTACAGAGAAGTATTAAAATTAAAACTTTGTTACTAACAATTGGATTTTCAGTGTTTTTTTCTTAGAAAAATAATTTGTTGTTTTCCTTTTTTCCTTTTTTTTCACTTTAACCGCTTTCGCTCAGCTTTTCAAAAAAATTAACTGTATCTCCACGTGTTGATGCTTATGTTTTGAACAAATAAAAAAAATGAAAATCAAAGGGCGTAACTAGTCGGATATGTCTTTAACTGTTTGTATTTCCACGTGTTGCTTATGTTCTGAACAAATAAAAAATTGAAAATCAAGAGGCGTAACTGCCTGTATATGTCTTTAACTGTTTGTATCTCCACGTGTTGGTGACTATGTTTTGAACAAATAAAAAAAATTAAAAAATTTGCGCATAACTTACTGAAATATGTTTATCAACAACAAAAGGGGAATTTATGTTGCAAACTATTTAAAACAATGAATTATTAAACATGGGTTTGGTATTGTTGATGAAAAATATTTTCTTTTTAATTCGCCTTTATTCAGTGGTTCTATAGCCGCATTGGCCGAATGGGAAGACACTAAAATTTGGAAGATTTTTCCTCCGCATTCCTCCATATATGCCTAGTTTATTTTGTAATATATATATATATATATATATATATATATATATATATGGAACAACATTTCCGCCTGGAAAAACACGATTTCAAAACCCATGCCAAATTCACTATAATTGAGAGAATAGAAAAGTTCAGAGCAGATAACATTAGAAAGATTTTAGAGTCCCATGAAAATAAGTGGATACAACGTCTAAAAACACAATATCCAGCCGGGCTAAAGCATAAATTTAACAATATAGATAGTACTAATATATAACTCAACAAATCAAAACCTACCCACATTTCTCACCCACACAAGACAGACATGCTTACGGAGGTGTGGAGGGGTCACAGGCCTCACCCACACAAAATATACACACCACATCATACACTCCCTAATATACATGATAACACACACCCACATAATACACACACTTACACTCCCTAAGAACCAAATAACACACACACAAACACTAAACAGAGACACATCCCCTCTCCAGGTCCCATAAAAACTGTCAAACTGACCAAAGGAATTCAGAGCAGCATGTATCCATCCAGCTCTTATCTCAAATAACAACTTAAAAGAGACTGTTTGACCAACACAAGGAATGTTAAAAATTCATGTTAAAAATATAAAAAAAAAAAAAAAAAAAAACAAATGAAAACTACAGACAAAAGTTCATTTTCTCCATCAAGACATTCATTTCTGTAGTTTACTGCTACCAGCAAGGAGAAATATTTCTTTTCCTGATGATGGCCATTTTGGACGAAACCAGTCGAGGAATCTAAATGAAATAATAATAAAAAAAAAAAGAATATTAATCTACAACCCAGTGTGTCTGAAGATTTTAATTTTTTAATATTTTTATTGTTCAATATATATATATATATATATATATATATATATATATATATATATATATATATATATATAAGAACATTATATTATAAAATTGACTATTAAATGATGAAACGTTTTGTGTATTTTGACGTCTTTTATTGATCATTTTTCTCCGTCCATGTCCGCGAATTTATTTTGCTCATGCTAAGTCTCTTAAAAAAAATTATAAAATTAACTATTTTTATCTATAATGATGTATAGTGGCGTGGAGCTTAGGGGCTTAAAATGAATATTGATTTAAGAATATTTTTCAAGTTTGTTTTAATAAAATGATGATAATGACGGTTAATTTTAATTTTTTCAAAAAAGGATTTTATTCTTCAAAATTCAGTTATTATATATATAAAGGAGATTTATATAGGTCCAAACTTTCATATATTTATTCTTAGTTCTCCGGCTAAATTTCAATTCTGTATAGGTAAGTTAAAAATTGGTCAAAAAAAAATATTAATTAATGAAACAATTCTTTTTCTTTTTTTTTCTCGGTTTTTTGTTAATTTCTTTGAAAGGCAAAATTTCACTTTCATATTAGGCTCCCAAAATTATTTTTTCTTCCCTTCTCTTCATATTTGAAAATATTACATGGGTTTTATTATTATTTCCAACATTTTTTTAATGTGTTAAAATAATTCAACTTTTTAATTTAAAAATTTTATCAAGTTGATGTTAAAAATTGCCGTAAAAATTACTTAAATTTATTTAAGATGGAAGGATTTCTTTGATATGTCTTTAATCTGTATTTATATACATATTTATACAATTATATTTTTTTTTTTAGTTTATTGAGATTTAAAGTATGATTTATCTACTCCAATGATAGATTTGGGGATAATAATATCTTTATATTATATTTATATATATATTTATCCGCCGGTATATAAATGACGTTGCCCTATGGATGTAACATTAAGAAAATACTTCAAGTAATTTAAGTCATCCAAAGACTGAAAATTATAAAATTGACAAAGATTATTGTTTTTTCTTGAATATTTTCACTGTCTTAATTAGGTTTTTTTTTTTTTATTTTTTTAAAACCAAAATCAAACTCAATTTTGTTTTCAATATCGATTTGATCAATTTTTTGAATAGAATTTTTTATAAATGATTGTCTTGTAAATGGAAATTTTTAAATATGCATGAAAAAAAAAAAAAAAAATGCATTACAATAAATTTAAAAACCTACCTGTCAAAAAAAAAATAATTTCTTTTATTGAAATCATTGAAAAATATATCCAATATATTTATATATAAATATATATATACATATATCACACACACACACACACACATCAATCAATATAAAACC